AATTTTTCAAAGGGAATTTCATGTCTTGATCATATGCTTATTGCGATTTAGGGTTCATAATCTTCTAGGAGTCATTCGTTCATTCTTATTCACTATGCTGTTACTGTTGCTAGCCGCTTAGAAATTGATTTCAGTAATTGGAGCCACAAGAGTGTTGTATCGAATTACCAGACCTAGAAATGATCGAGCGAATTTGCTACAGGAGACGAAAGCTACCTGTAGAGAATTGTGAGCGTGGATGAATTCTGTTTCTAAAGCATGATCTTATTCGCAGCATGAGAGCGAGAGTTAATTGCTGTGTTGAGTGATTAGATGACTAGGGTTACGATAGTTGGCTAATCTTATATGTGTCTATTCTAGTTCGGGATCCTCACTAGATCATTACCTCTATCGATTTGTGTGTCTCTTGATCGGTTCATGAGCCCTTCAAAAACTCTTTGAACCCAGAGCCTGTTTCTTATTGTTTTACAACTTGTTTATTTCGATTGCTTTTAGATTTAGTGACACCAAAACCAAAAACCCCCCATTTTGCTTGTTCTGCTAGTCTTAAGTCTTGATTGATTCGCACTGAAAGTTCAAAATCTCTGTGGTTCGACCCCTAAGTACTACACCGTACATCTGTGCACTTGCAGATATTTAGGGTTATAAATTAAAAACGTGAAGCTAGAAGTAACCCTTGATTCTCTTAGCATCAAGTTTTTGGCGTCGTTGCCGGGGATTTTGATTCCTTTCGTTGCGAATCTCTGCTTAATTCGATAGAACTTTTTCTAAATTTTGTTTTTCTTTGAATTTTCAGGTACTTTTTCGATGAGGGGTCAGGAACACATCCTTGATTCTCTCGCTGAAGAGGACCCTTTTCTAGATGGTAATCCATCAGATGATGAGCTAAATGACCCAATCGATGATGGCAATAAATCGATTGGAGAACCAGAGTATGCCAAGAAGGGAGAACAGCTTATTGGAAATGTGATACACACAAAATTTTTGCAGATAGGCGAGTGATTACTAAGGATGGCGACTCTGAGGCTAAGGTACAATACATTAGCTATATCAAAAAGTATAACAGGTTTTCTACTGAACACCCAATAGATCATATTGAAAATTTTGAAGAGCTGTGTTCAACCATAATGAAAAATACCGATTACCATATGTGTGTCCTTTTCCCATTCTCTCTAACTGGTAGAGCTAGTAAATGGCTTAAAACTTTGCCACCTGCGTCCTTGAAGACGTGGAAAGAGTGTAGAGAGGCTTTCCTAAGTCACTTTTACGCCAGAGATCGTTCCAATCTATTAAGGGACAAGATCCAAAAATTTCAGCAGGGGGACACAGAAGACCTCTATGACGCCTGGGAAAGATTCAGAGATTACCAAAGAGATTGCCCACACGATGGTTTCTCCAAGGAGCGCCTGATGACCATCTTCTACCATGGAGTTAATGAAGAACTGAAGTTTTCTTTTGATACCTCTAGCAATGGAGACTTCTCCACTGGAACTGTAGATGAGGCTCACGCCTACATCACTAATCTAGCTGGGAGTATCAGAAATAGGAGACTTTTAACCCAATCTAGATGTCCTAAAGTTGAGGAAAAAGAATTATCTGTTAGTAAAGAACAACTAGATCAGATTAGAGAAGGCATACAGAAGATTCTTAGCATGATTGGTCCGATTCATAACTCTGATGAGGGAAACAATCATGGCAAGCCCTACATTGAGAAGATGAACAACCTTGAGGTGGAGAAGAACTTCCAAAATCAGGAAATGATGCAAACCGCTGATGTTTACCAGATTGAAGAGGCTGAGCAGAATCAACCCCACCATGAATGGGAGCCTTTCAACCGCGGCAAAACCGACCTCCATCGCGGGTGGGAAGATTTTGGCCGCGGCAAAGAGGAGTTTCACCGCGGGTCAGAGCATTTAGACCGCGGCCAGCCTGATTTCCAATCCTCTTTTCAACCTTCTTTCAAGCAAACCCAATCTGATCAACCCAATTCCACACTTCCTCCTTATTATCCTTTTTCCAAGATTGAAGAACTAGAAAAAGAGGTTGAAAGACTCAAGAAGGAGATGGAGAGTCAATCAAAGAATCATGAAGATGCTATCAACAAGCTCTTCACCCTTTTCTTCTTCAGATTAGTGATGAATCAAAGGAGACAGATTCTTCTGTTAATGATCTTGATGAACCTTTTTCTGAAAGAATAAATGAATTGGAGACCTCTGATCACTTAAAAGCAATAACCTTCAGGAGTGGTTTAGCTTACAAGGAACCAGAATATCCAAAAGACCTCGAAGAAAGGGAAGAATGAGAAGTTTTGGCTAATAAAGAAGGAGATGCAGCAGTTGGGAAAGAAAGGGATAATGAGAAGGAAAACACCCCTCAAGAAATTTCTGAAGAAGAACCTATGCCACCTCCTCTTACTCGTGTCTACAAGCCGAAACCACCATACCCACGAGCTTTGAAAGGACCAAAGAAGGAGAAAGAAAGGGCTAAGCTGAAAGAGATAATCGAGCAGTTAAATGTGAGGTTACCTTTCATTGAAGCTTGTGCAATGATACCTGCTCTTAGGAAATATATGAAGGGTATTCTAACAAATTCTCTAGCATTAGAAGAAGGTGTTATGATGATAACTCATGAATGTAGTTCCATCTTACAGAACCATATCCCCCAGAAGAAAAAAGATCCGGGAAGTTTTGTACTCTCTTGCACAATCAGGAATATAACTTTTGAACGTTGTCTATGTGATTTGGGATCAGGGTTTAGGATATCATACTTTCCAGCCCACAAAAATCTCGCTGATTCTTGCCGATCGATCAGTCAGACGACCAGAAGGAGTCTTGGTTGATGTATCAGTCATGATTGGAGAAAATTGTATTCCAACTGATTTCGTAGTGCTTGAATTGGAAAGAGAACCAAAAGACCCTCTAATTCTCAGTAGACCTTTCCTATCAACTGCAGAAGCAATAATCAATGTTAGGAAAGATAGACCTACATCTAGGAAGTTTGATTATGCAGTTCGATATGAACAAGAGTCTTGAGAAACCTACTTTAGATGGCGGGCTCTATCGGGTTGATAAACTTGATGTTAATACTGAGGAAGTTTATGAAGAAGTCCTTCTTGAATGACCCTCTAAAAATCATCCTAACCACCACAAATGATGATCGCAACCTGCTCGAAGAAGTTTCAAAAGAGTGTGTGCAAATGCTTGATAAGGCCAAGGATTATATGAAACTTGTGAATTATCTGGACCTGAATGAGGAAAATCACATCCCTACTCCTCCAAAAGATACCTTGGCAGCTATATATGACCCATGGAGCGAGCTCAAAGCTCCAAAAGTCGAGCTTAAACCCCTTCCTGATGGGCTCAAGTATGCTTTTCTTGGACCAAACTCAACTTATCATGTCATCATAAATTCAGGCTTAAGTAGAACTGAAACTATTAATTTTTTAAATGAGTTAAGGAAGTATATAAAATCCATAGGTTATTCTCTTGATGACATACAAGGAATCTCCCCAGACCTCTGTATGCATAAGATAAATCTTGAGGACAATGCCAAGAATTCGATTGAAAGCCAAAGAAGGTTGAATCCAAACCTGATGGAAGTGGTAAAGAAGGAGATCATGAAACTTTTGGAAGCAGGAATCATATTCCCTATCTCGGACAGCACTTGGATTAGTCCTGTGCATGTCGTTCCGAAAAAAGGAGGAGTGACTGTTATTAAAAATGACAAGGATGAAATGATTGCTACAAGAACAGTGACGGGACATCGAATGTGCATCAATTATCAAAAATTGAATGCAGCAACTTGGAAAGATCATTGTCCTTTACCCTTCATTGACCAAATGCTAGAAAGATTGGTAAATCACGAATATTACTGCTTTCTAGATGGTTATTCCGGATTTTTCCAGATTCCAATTAGACCGGAAGATCAAGAAAATATGACATTCACTTGTCCATACGGAACTTTTGCTTATCGGAGAATGCTTTTTGGATTGTGTAATGCACATGCAATCTTTCAGCGGTGCATGATGTCTATTTTCACTGATTTCATCAAAGATTTCATGGAAGTCTTCATGGATGATTTCTCCGTCTATGGATCCTCATTCGACACATGCTTGGCAAACTTAGGGAAAGTTTTGCAGCGGTGTGAAGATAAGCATTTTGTCCTTAACTGGGAAAAATGTCACTTCATGGTCCGCGAGGGAATTGTGCTTAGACATAAAATATCTGGAAAAAATATTGAAGTTGACAAAGCAAAAACTGAAGTCATGACTAGCCTTCAACCTCCAACTAATGTGAAGGGAATCCGAAGTTTCCTAGGGCATGCCAAATTCTATAGGCGATTTATAAAAGGCTTCTGCTCTGCATTTGAGCAAAAAGCATAACTTTGGATAAATTCAGACAGTCGGAAGATTGGTAACAAACGGAGGCCTTCCCACCGTCTGATCATCCCCAAATTTTTACACAAGATAGAGGAGACAACCAGCCTTCCAATGTAAGTTGAATCAAAGTAATCCAACGGTTAGATCTCAAGATATAGTCGATACACTGAAGGCAAATCATCACAGTCAGAAGCTCACCCACGGCCAAAACATCATCCACCGGGGGTGCGAAATTTTTGACCGCGGGGAGCTCAATTCCGAGCCTCAGAAACCAATATCAAAGCCCAAGTCATTCCCATCATTATTCCTGCAAGCCCTAGGCGTTCCCGAGGACTCAAGACACTATATAAATCCCTTTTAAGTCGTTTAGAAGGTGTGCCACATTCTTTTCACCAGAAACCCTAGAAGAGAGCTAGCCCCAGAAGGAGGAGCCACCGGAGAGGGGGCACCATCGGC